GCCAATAGGCCGGGGGACGGAAGCGGGGGGGGGGGGACAACTGCAATCACAATCCCGCGGCTACTTAGGCAACTGCAAACTCCAGTGGTTGTGCTGCTAACAGCCGGGAGCCTGCACCTGGGGGGGAAATGAATCAACAGGAGCACACGCGGCTCCCATATGAACGCGTTCTGGCACCCGGGCCAGTCTTACTCGGATGGTGCCATTGCGCTCACCCGACCTCCTGCACATCGCAGGCCACCCGGCCTCATCGCCCCCATGTGAGCATGTTCCCGCGAATCTTTTCCATCCATGTGCGGAATAATGGTATGTGCACCGAGGCATGTGTGACTGTGCACCACCAGTAGCAAAGCCTGGTTCTGGGTGCTGTGCCAAACAGCTGGGCAGCACTGGACTCTCTCTTGCGTGCCCGGCTCACAGGGGGCACCGCAAGTGACATGGGGCCCATGCTGCAGCAAAGGCTGAAGCGCCCACACTGTCACTACCAAGCCAACCCAGGAGAAAATTCCTTCTGACCCCAAATAGGAGGGTGGGGTAGATCCTGGGCAAGATGCACCCGGCAGATCCCTGGGAAAGGATTCCCTGTGGGAGCCCCCCCCGTCTCCGGCCGCTATGGACAGTTGCTGATGGGCCGCATGCCATTGCAGGCAGCCCCACCAGCCCCTCCACCCCACATGTGCCAAGCTCAGGCTTGCAGCCAGGTGGGTTTTCTGCCCCGATTGCTCCCTTGGGAGGCTGCTCCAGAACTTCACCCCCTCCCCCGCTCAGAACCTCCGTCCCTGTCATAGAAGCAGTCACAGGCGGGGCCCGGAGCCCCGAGGAGCCTCGCACAGCCTGCAACCTGCAAATGCGAACACCAGCTGGCCCTGAGCGGCTTTCGCCCACACTCTTGAGCTGGGAAAGTCCAAGCGGTGAACGAGCTGGACCTCGGTGTCAGCTCCGGAGACTGCTCAGAGCGGCGTGGGGCCAGTGCGGGCCCCCCGTAAACAACCGTGCTACAAGCCTGGGGAGTTGCACCAGGGACCTAGACCTCGGAGGGTGCCCTGGATTCCCCCAGCTGGAGCCCCGTCGAAGCGAGGATCAGGGATGGGACGCTCCGCAGGAGACGGGGGGAAGCATTCCAAGCGCCTTTTATACGCCGTCACGGCGCGTCGGGGACACCGAGCCCTGCACCCCCTCCGCGGCCAGAGGGGCCTCTCAGCCGGCAGGTAGAAGAGAAGGTTTCTTGGGACACAGCGCGCTGGTAACACAGGAGCCAAGAGCAGGCGGCCTTATTCCTCTCGGGGAGAAGGGCTCCAGGCCCTTCACCCCCCTTTCCTGCCACAAGCCCCTTCTCTCCTCCTACCCCACCCCCGACCTGTGTCAGCCCAGCCTGCCCTGTGGCTCCCTTCCCGGGCAGGAGCTGTGATCTGTGTCTGGCCTCAGGCGTGGGGCCCAGCACACGGCTGCAGTGCGTCACCCCTCCAGCGAGCGTTGCCGAGCCCCGGGAAACAGGAATCACACCCGGCACCATACAGCAAGGAGCGAATGTCCCAGGCCGCAAGAGGCCAGCACCCCGCGGCACACCCCTCCCCCCGTCCAGGCCGAGCGGAGCGGGGTCCCCCCGCCTGTGTCCTGGGGAAGGGCAGGGCCCTG